ACCTCTGCTATTGTAATAGTGATTCTGCTGAAAGGTGGCCTGGGTTCTTGAGGTAGCTTTGTCAGTGGCTGAGCCTAGAGCCTTCTGTTAGTGTTGGCGGGGCTTTGGGGATCTTATCTGTCTGTCTGTGTAACAGGGGAATTTATCTCTTGCCCAACAGCCCTGCCTACAGTCTCATCTGCATGCTTTAGAATAAGACATTCATGAAAGTACTTTGAGCCCTTTCCAGACAGCCATCTTTGGAGAACCCTAGGGATCCGATTTCCTTTATATGCTTGCTTCTGTGGGGAGATGCCTTAACTTGTATGGCTAACGCAGTCTCTTAAGGATCATATAAATACTATGGTCTGGTTTTTCCCCTAGGAAGCGACAAAGGGAAGAAGAGATCGAAGCTCAAGAAAAAGCCAAACGGGAAAGGGAGTGGCAGAAGAACTTTGAGGTAAATTTCCAAGGTGGCCAGGGATTCTTATTCCAGAGTAAGAAAACTTCCCAGCATAGAAACAGGGTTCTCAGGGCATTTCCAGGACTGACTGGGGCAGATAGGGAAATGGGGCGGGGCAGGTGGGGATGAGCGGGAGCCTCGGAGCCTGAGGTTGAGTTTGGCTCAGCCACCTGTAAGCTCTGTAGCCTTGGCGAGGGCAGCGAGGATCCCTGCATGGTGGGTGGTTTAGAAACTGTGGTATGTGAGCTGCCGAGTGGGCTCAAGAAAAGTGGTCTGCACATTTGACTTAGGGAGTGAACGTGGAGTTGTGCCATACCCTACTGAGAGGTCTCAGTAGAAAGTGAGCTTCCTTCCCCACCCCTACTTCCAGCTCTAAGAAGACTCTTTCAGGAACTTCTGACAGTGGATCTGAGACCAGATGGGCTCGAGAGATTACAAATGACTCATAAAAAGAAAATTTGTTTAGCTCTCCTCCCAAAAGAAAGAAAGAAACAAACAAACTGAGTTTTTGTGACCCCGGTGTCCTGCCTGCAGAGAGACTTACAGCTTTTGAACTTGACTTCTCTTTAACACCCTAGTTACAGCCTTCAGATGCTTAGCTAGTACTCTGAATTGAGCAACATTGGGTCTGTCTGCCATAGCATTTAGGTCTCAGCAGGGATTGGCTGACCAGAGTTGATGACTTTGTTTCTGTCCCACTGCTTGTATGAAAAGAGAGAAAATGAGTAGGCACCCTAATAAGGAGGAAGATATCCTAGGGGCCCCCTCAGCACAGTGCTGGCTTTGAGCCTCCTTCCACGTTTTTTTTTGAAGATTTTATTGGGGAATTGGGGGAGGGGAACAGCATTGGGGCATCGGGGGAAGGGGAAGGGGAACAGACGAGTTGCTGTCCTTTTTGTTCTTCAGTCTAGTTGTGGAGGACGTTGCTTCACTGGCCCATGTTGGTATTATCATTGCGCTCTTCCCGGATGAGGCAGATCAGTCGCCGGCCTCTGGACGGCCGCTCATGGCGGCTCTTGGCAGCTCACGCCGGCTGCCAGTCGCTCATGCTGGCTGCCGGCTACACACGGTAGCTCACGCCAGCTCACTGCAGCAGGGGCTGCAGCCTACGCCGTCGCTGGTGAATCATGGCAGCCCAGGTCCAGGTCGAGCTGCTGCTTACCATCTTAGCTGTAGAGGGTAGTGTCACTGGCCCTCATATGGGATCCGAACCCTGGCCCTGCTGCTCAGAGCTGGTGTCCCAAGCCAGCTCTTAACCAACGCGCCACTTGGCCGGCCCTCCTTCCATGTTTTGGGGGGAAGGAAAGGTGCGGTGGAAAGAGTGGCTGCACTGTGGCCAGCTGCATGACTCTGAGAAAATGACTCAGCCTCTCTGAGCTTGGTGTTGTCGTCTGTGAAATGCTGGTGGCACTACACACACCACAGGCAGCTTTTTGTAAGGATTAGAAATAGCATATGTGAAATGTCTAGCCCAGAAGTCCCCAACAAATGGTGGCCTCCTTGTTGTGATGAGTTTTACTCATGTTCTCCTTCTCCTCCCACCTGCGGCTGGCTTCTCCTGCCTTCTAGGGGTGGTATGATACTTTCCTGGGCCCATGGACATGGGAGGAAAGCTCTGCTGTGTTCTACTCTTGGATTATTCCTGAGGGCTGAGCTGGGCTACAGGGGGATGGCAGAGCACAGTCAGGCCCTTCCTCTCATTAACTACCGTATTTTGCCATGTATAATGCGCTCCCGGGTATAGGGGGAACCCACGTTTTTGGCTCAAACTTTCAGGGAAAAAAGTCTTTCATTTTAATTTTTTAATTCAAATTTTTATTTGTTTACATTTAGGTACTTGTTTTTGGTATTATAAAGGAATTTTAGCATTTATTTTTTAACATATTATGGTACAAGAAATTTTATGTAACCAATAATTACAAAACAGAACAGATACAGTAAGTCCCCGACTTACGAATGAGTTCCGTTCCAGGAGAACGTTTGTAAGTTGGATTCGTTCGTAATTCCGACAAAGTGAGTCTTATACACCTTTGACACAAATATACAATGTAAAGCCAGTGGTTGAATGATTCATGTTATAAGAACAAGTGACATCTACCATTTTTTTGCCTCGGTCCAGTCTCTCAATTATTTTCACTTTTGTTTCCGTGGTTGTTGCTTTGCACTTCCCAGCAGTCCCCTCCACATCACCACTGCTTTCCCTCTTGCTTCCGGACATCCCGGGCTCTGATTGAGCACTGTACTACTGTACACTATCGCACTGGACAGTAAGCACACAGCAGCACAACTGTGACAATGTCCAGCAGACACGTGAGTTACTTCCGTGATTTGTTTGCATCTACGAATGTTTGTAATGCGAGGTCCATTTGTATCTGTGAAAGTTGGCAACTCGAATGTTCGTAAGTCAGGGACTTACTGTACAAGGTACAAGAAATTTTATGTACCACTAACAAATTCACGATATTTACGCATCATAGAAGGCCAACAACTCTTTGTTGTTGTTGCAAGTTCGTTGTTCAACAAAGTTCAACAAAACCGATGATCCTATTCCAGGGTATTATTTTGCATATGGATATCGTTATTGATTTCTAGTGTTACACTTTTAACTCATAGGCATAAATAAAAGAATTAAAAACATTTATATAGATACAGAATTATTACCACCCATGTATAACACACTTCCTTATTTTTCCCTCACAAATTTGGGCAAGAAAGTGTACATTATAACGACAAAATATGGTAGTTTTCTCACCACAGACCTCTTTTGCTCTCAGGAAAGCCGAGATGGTCGTGTAGACAGCTGGCGAAACTTTCAAGCAAACACAAAGGGGAAGAAAGAAAAGAAGAATCGGACCTTCCTGAGACCACCAAAAGTAAAGATGGAGCAACGTGAGTGACCTCCTGGGGTCACAGCCACAGAACCTTCCCCCAGATGTCTCCCCTCTTGCTTTGAAGGACTCATTCTTCCCTCCCATTTCCACCCCAACATAGAGTAGTATTTGCTTTTTAGTCCATTTTGTTTTCAATACGATTTAATATCAATCAGAGTAATTCTTTTGTACATTGAAATAAGGGGCTCGGTTTAAAAAGAAACCTTCCCCCACCTCCTACCCCCCGGGCCAACCAGGATTGGAAGGTGCCACCATTGGTGCTGCCTTCTCTTCCCACAGCCTGTAACTTAATGTTTTGTACTTCACTGAATTGTGATGGTTAGAAACTTCGTGTATAGTTTGTGGAAATCATTCAATTAAACATATTGCTTAAAATGGTGTTGCTGTGACTTCAGAGACAAGCCTGGGGCTACCTTAGGAAGCCCCTTTGCTTCAGTGTCTTGCTTCTGGGTGTGGCATCCTTTGAAGCCCCACATCAGACAGGGAAGGCAGTGGGCACACAGACAATTGCTCGATGCCCCAACTTCCCATGGCGTTTGGCATGTGCTCTTCCGTCTGACTGATCAGTCCGCGTGGCATGAAGCTCCGAGCCACCCAAACCTGTTCACTTTCCAAAGAGCTAGCTGTCCTCCATCCAGTACATCTAGTAGCTGTCTTCGCCTGTCTGCATTCATTAGTGGTGATATTCTGTATGTGTAATAAATTTTTATACCCTAACCTTTGATTTTGTCTTCTTCAGGTATTGTTCCAAGGTGGGTTCCTTACCTGGCTTGGCCCAGCCCTGAAATGCTTTGGAGTTCTGGCTCCCTACCACATATTTGCTAAACTTTATTTATCTACAAAATGGGAATATTGGTTACTGTGGCCGTTTTTAGGGAGGCGTAGCCATGGCACATATAAGGTACCTTCACAGTGCTCGGTATTGCCAATATCATTTCTGTGTTAAATGAAGACACTGATTATTTTGAGGATTAAATGAAATAATGTGTGGAAGTACACAGCTTATCGTATATACTCAAATGTGCTGCTGGCCATGAGAGACAGGATCAGCCCTGGGGAGGGACATACGATGAGAAATAGAAAGACAACACCTAAAATGTGAAGACAGGAGAAACTGGGTGACTTGGAACTAGACTTTTTATAGTGTTTTGTAGATGAGTAAAGAGGAACAATAATCACAAGGCACAGTGTCTTGTAGTGTCAAGAGATACTGCAACTTTGATTTGCTTCCTTATGGGAGGGGACAGAAGCTTGGGTGTCTCACTGTCTTTCCAGGTGCAGCTGAGCGTATCCAGACTACAGATGAATTCAAACCCAGGGGATCGCTGGGGGTGGCTCTAGTTAAACCTGGACCAAGGCAGAGCGAGGGAACTGTTGTCCCCCAGCAGAGTGATACATGTCACAAGGTCATGCAGACTCTTGTGCCAGGTGCAGCAGCTATCTCCTCTAGCCAGGCAAAGTGCCACCCATCACACTCCGGCATGTGTGTGAACACACCCACCCCTTCCGTAGAGGTCATGTGGTGGTCACAGTTCAACCATCTGCAAGCTCGTGAGGGCCAGGCCCTGTCTGCCCTCGGGGAGGTTGTGCCAGCAATGAGCCGTGGGTATCCTTATTCATTCAACAAATATGCTGGTTTAGGAATAAAATGGTGGCTACCATGGGGGCCCCTGCTGCCTACCTGAGCCTGTGGGGGCACACGGGTATGTGAACAGGTGCAGAGATCATGAAAGGCACAGTGCGCCCACTGCTCTGAGGAGAGGGCCCTTGATCCCATTCTTAGCAACTGGGGACTGTTTCCTGGAGGACGTGACCTTTTTCAAGTTGGAACCCAGAGGCTGATGCCTCAGTTAAGAATTCCTAGCATAAACAAATGGGGGAATATTTGCTCACGTAAGAAGTCTGGTGGCAGGCACTTTCAGGTATTGTTCATGGGCTCAACAGACACCAGGGAACCCGGCTCTTACTGTGCTTCCCGTCCACCCTCTCCGGAGACCTTGGTATCTCACAGCTGCATAGAAGATCGTGGCAGCCTCACACCTCATGCCAATTGCCAAGCAGAAGTCATCCAGGAAGCCCAAATTTTCCCCAAAGATGTCATTGGCCAGAAAAAGGTCACATGGCTACATCTAACTGTAAATTTGGGAAAACAGCAAAGGAGAACAGGCAGGCTATAGACCAGGACTTGCCCTGGAGCTGGGCATCTGTTGTTTATAGTTAAGTTTTGTTGGCAAGGAAGGAAGAAAGGGAGATGTGCTGGGATGACTAAGTGTGGAAAAATGTTTCAGTCAGAGGAAACGGCATGTGCAAAGACCCAGAGGCAAGAGCACAGCTCATTTGTGGAACTGAATATCCTTTTTCATGCCTGGGCATCAAATGGGTTGGGGTGAGACCAGGGAGATCAGAAAGTCATATTAAAGAGTTTGGGTTTCAGTCATGACATCCTATTTTCCCAGATGAATCAAAGCCTTCCCATTTCCTTTCTGGCACATTCTAGCCACAGACCCACTCAGAAGATTAGCAGTGGTCCCAGCCCATTCTCCACCCTGCTCAGGGCAATCTTTTCAGTGATGGCTTGGAATTGAGGCAGCTGCAGTCAAGACGCCTCCAGGGCTGTGGCTGTGGCTGTGGCAGCTTCTCCAGCCACGTCCTCTGTGGATAGGTTAAGGGGCTCTTTGGGCAGGAAAGGCTCTGGAGGAGTGCCAGGGCCCAGGGTGAGCCACTTCACTCCTCCTCCTATGGTTTGCTGGGAATAATAGAGCAGATAGCCAGACCCCAACACCTCCTACTGGGCAGCCTACTGCTGCCGGTGGGACTACCTCATACAGAGACGTAGTGGAAAGAGCCCGATAGTTAGGGTTAGAATCCTGGCATTTGGGCCAGAGACTTCAACCCTGAGCCTCCACTTCCTTGTGTGTAACGTGGGAATGAATCACCTGAAGCATCAGCCATGGCCCTTGGCAGCCCAGTCAACACCCCATCCTGTACTCCCGTTTGGTGACTATAGTCTCAGCAGCTGCCTGGGGCAGCCACAGTCAGGCCCCACCTTCTCGCCCTTCCTGCTTCCCTGGAACCCAGGTGGAAGTGGGAGTCAGTGCTCCGGAGGCTGCAGAGAGCCTGGGCTTGCCCTGAGGGTGGAACCTCATTGAAGCGGGATTTGCTCCTCTCCATTTCCTTCTTCTCCGCGCCCCCCCCCCCTTGCACGCCCCCATAGCCATCCTAGCACATCTGGTTCATCTGCCCCCTTGCTGAACGTTATCGAGCACTTCTCACCATTGGAATCAGGAATTGTGGGGATGTTTGACCCTGAGTGGAATGGGCCCAGAGGGGCTTGCAGTCACCTCACTGAGAATCTGCCCTGCCCCTCACTAGCTTTGTAATCCTGGCAAGTCATTTCCCCTCTCTGGGCTTTAGCTTCCGCCTCTTTGGTAAAACAAGGGTAAAAAATACCTCCTTTTTCCTTGTTCCGTGAACTTGAGTGAGATTCTGCTGATTGTGAAAAGAACAAACCTTGCAAATGGTGGCAATAGGCCTGCGTTTGAGGTCAGACAGACTGAAGTCTTGAAACTCCTGGGAGCCTCAGCTTCCTCATTTCTTAAACGTGTTGTCTTGAGTGTCACGAAGTCAGGAAACCAGGTGCCTGGCGTAGCCGGGTGCACAGTGAGTACTCCGCCCTGCCCCTCTCTTCCAGCATGGTGGTCCCTGTCCCAAGAATCGGGTGAAAGATCAGAGGATTGAGGACACCTGGGAAATGTGTTAAAAAGACATTCTCTGCTGCTCCTGAAGATTCGGATTCAGGGTTCAGGGTGGGGAGTGTGTATGGTGGGGAGTGTTTATGGTGGGGAGACAGACAGCTGGATCTTTAGCAAGCTACCAGGTTAACTCAGCCAGTGCTGTAACACCAGACAAGCACAGTCAGTCCTTCAGGAGGTAGGGGGTGGGGAGAGCTTGGGGTTCTGTCAGAGATGCCAACCCTCAGTGGGCAGCCCTTATTAAGGTGAGGGGTAGATAAGCTAGAAAGAGCCCTTAGTTAATTGAACTCTCTTTCCCAGTCCCTGGCTTCCTCTGGATTCCCTTCAACCCTGCTCTGCTTCATGGGCTGCCTACCTTGGAATCCCTGGGGTGCTTGTTAAAAATTCATTTAACTGGTGGTCCCCACCACCAGCACTGCTAGATCACAAGCTCTTGAAGTAGAATATGAGAAAACGCTTTTTTTTTTTTTAAAGATTTTTATTGGGTAATTGGGGGGATGGGAACAGTGCTGGGGAATTAGGGGAAGGGGGACAGACAAGTTGCTGTCGTTTTGTTCTTCAGTCTAGTTGTGGAGGACATTGCTTCACTGGCCCAAGTTGGCACCATCATTGCGCTCTTCCCGGGCGAGGCAGATCAGTCGCCGGCTTCTGGACGGCCGTTCACTGCGGCTGCTGGCCGCTCACGCTGGCTGCTGGCCGCTCACGCTGGCTGCTGGCTGCTCACGCTGGCTGCTGGCTACATACAGTAGCCCATGGCAACCCACTGCCACAGGGACTGCAGCCTATGCCGTCGCCGGCAACTCACGGCAGCCCAGCTCCAGGTTGAGCTGTTGTTCAGCATCTTAGCTGTAGAGGGCAGTGTCACTGGCCCTCATATGTGGGATCCGAACCGGGGCCCTCTGGCATCCCAGGCGAGTTCTTAACCATCGCGCCACTCGGCTGGCCCAGAAAACGCTTTTTTTAAACCTTGATTTTTAACAAGGTCTCCAACTGACGTGGAGAAAGCATCTCACCCCTACCACCCCCAATCCTGGGACACTAGGCAGGAACTTGGGTAAATAAAGTGATTTTCCTTTACTGAGTTCCTGTTATGTGCCAGGCATCATACTTGGTATAACGTAGGGAGTATGTGTCACGGTTACTCGGTTACTGACCCAGGAACCGGAGGCTCATAGATGCTCAATGGAGGGCTCAAGCTGAAGACCCGAGGTGGTGGTCAAGCCATGGTCCAGCGGATTCTTAGAGTTGGTATTTGAGAATGTCTACCCATGCCATGGCCCAGTTTGCTTTCCTCTGTGGCCGTTGCTTCCTGCTAAGCCCAATCTGGTATTTTGGTGGGGGTGGGGTGGAGGTGGAGATAAGGAGCAACTTGCAGTACAGAACACCCAAGGTTGGAGACCCCAGAGCAGTCCTAGGCAAAGATTTGTCTTCTCCCTCAGACTGGGGGCTCATGAGGGCAGATGAGGGTGACTTCAGATGGTATAATTTTGTTTCCCAGCTTACTGGGCATCCCTGAAGGCAGGGCTGTCTCTTCCTTGGTTGGGGGCACCTGTGGGCAGGTTGGGTCATACCCGTTGGATGGTGGTCTGTGAGCAAGGCTGGCTCTTCTGAAAGCAGCTTTGGGTCTTTTTCATCAGCTTGGGGCTCACTGGTATTGGGACTGTACCCATTGAAGCTTGGGCTCCTGAGGAGAGGGCTGTATTCCCTTTCAGAATGGGGGCTCCTGAGGACAGGGCTGGGTCCCTTCTTAGGCCAGGGCCCATCTCCCCCATCAGATAAGGGGTCCAGTTTCTCCTTCCTCTGCCAGCGCAGGCCCAGCCCTTCCTCCTAGAGGAGCTACATATTGAATGGGACCAGCCCTGTGTTGTTGGCTGAGCTGATATGCAGAGAGAGACTCCCCAGCTGGATGTGAGTATTCTCTGTGACCTTGGGGTTGGGGGCCCGCCCAAGGAGCTGGCTTCCTGGCTCATGCCCTGCTGACCCAGCAGAGCCAGCAGGCCGGCCTTCCCGAATTCTTTGTCTTGGTGCTGATGAAATGGGTTTGGAGCATAGAGGAAAATGAATCACACACTTAGGCCTGGACCTGCCTTCTGCCTCCTCCCCATTGCCTGCCCAGCTTCCTGAGTTTCCTGAGAAGCCTTGCAGGAAACATGCTCTTGACAGCCCTCACCATCCCCTCAGCTTCTTTGTCACCTCCTAGACCACTGTCCCTGCTGTTTCTCAGGTAAGAGGCGGGTGGTCTGGGTGAGAGGGTTGAGGCTAGTCAAGCCCTTGGGGGGTGGGGGTGGGGAGTCTGAAGACCTGGGTTATGTCGGATTGCCCTGCCATCAGCACCTGCTCATGGACACAATCCCCCTGCGTATCTCACAGACAGCACACACCCTCTCACCCCTCAGAGACAGTTAGCACACAAAATCACCAACAGATACAGCATTCCCTCACATCACACAAAACACATCCTTATCATGTATAGACACAGTTCATGGCCCTTCACAAACGCACGACACACAACAGACCCTTGACATCCACTGAAACAACCCATGACCTTCACTACACACAATACACAAGCTGTCACAACTGTCACAACCCCCTCACATGATGCATATCATTACCCTATAGACACATACCATGCACCAGCACTGACAGACACAAGCCATGGAAGACCCTCCACTCACTTACTGCAAACAAATCTACACCACAAAGACACACCCCACCCCCCAAGGCAACCACCTGTACACATCACGGGAACTCCCCTCACCCCCAAACGGGTCCCCAAGATCCTTGGGTGCTACTCCTCAGCTGGGGCAGGAGTAGGGTCTGGGCCCCGTCAGCAGCACCATCTCCACTGTCACCCCCCTCCAGCCCTGTTTGTGCATGGTGGGGCAGCCAGGAGCAGAGCAGGGGAGTGTGGGGGGGTTTGGGGGGGGGAGTCCTGGACACATGACGGAGCATGACAGGAGGGTCTCTTTTTTTTTTTAAGATTTTTATTGGGGAATTGGAGGATGGGAACAGCACTGGGGAATTGGGGGAAGGGGACCAGACAAGTTGCTGTTGTTTTGTTCTTCAGTCTAGTTGTGGAGGACGTTGCTTCAATGGCCCAAATTGGCACCATCATTGCGCTCTTCCCAGGCGAGGCAGATCAGTCGCCGGCTTCTGGAGGGCCGCTCACAGCGGCTTGAGGGCCGCTCACGCTGGCTGCTGGCTACACACGGTAGCCCGTGGCAACCCACTGCCACAGGGGCTGCAGCCTACGCTGTCACCGGCGACTCATGGCAGCCCAGCTCCAGGTTGAGCTGTTGTTCAGCATCTTAGCTGTGGAGAGCAATGTCACTGGCCCTCATATGTGGGATCCGAACTGGGGCCCTCTGACGTCCCAAGCCAGTTCTTAACCATCACGCCACTTGGCCAGCCCCAGAGTCCACTTTTTTAACAATTATTTTTAATTCCTTTTATTTTTCAAAGAGGTAACAAATGTGCAAACTGAAAGTTCAATAGTTATAAAAAATACACAGTGAAAAGACACCCTCTTATCATTGTTCTTAAGCTACCCAATTTCACTTTCTGGAGGAAACCTAAGTTACCTCTGGGGAGAACTATTATAGGGTGTTCTAGGGTTCCAAAGGGAACAAGGGTTCCAAGAACAGTGCCTAGACTCTAGGGGCTTTCCCATGCCCTCCCCCTGCCCAGGCACACAGACAGCTGCCTCGATCTGCCTGGGTGGGGAGCAGGGCCAGAAGCTCTTGGGCTCCTTCCAACTAAAGTCCCAAGTCCTAAGTCCTCTCCTGCCTGAAGTTCTCAGGGAGCCCCCACCGTTGAGGTCACTGGACCTGGATATTCTCCCCCTTATTGCACCCTGAGGGCCCTGGCCACACCCCTGAGGCTTCCTTTCAGGATCCAGTACATGATGAGGTGACCCCTCTTACAAGCTGGGGGCCTATCCCCTGAGCAGTTTTCAGTTTGCTGTCGAATGTGCGCCCAGGCTGGAGAGAGAGATCAGATGGGACTCTGCCCTGGCCAGAGGAGGGAAAGGATGAGAGAAGAGGAGGAAGAGGAGAGAGAAGGTTGAGGACTAGCTGCCAGGTACTGTCCTTTACAGACCTAATCCCATTGTGAGACTGGCCACCCCCACCTGACAGATGAAGAATCTCAGGTTCCCGTGGCCCAGTTTTTAAGTGTATGAGTTGGGATTCAAACTCCCAAAGTTTAAGGGAGGATGGATGAGTAAATGAGAGGGAGAGAGAGAGAGAGAGAGAGAGAGAGAGAGAGAGAGAGAGAGAGAGAGAGAGAGCTAGAGTCAGAGAGAAACTGAGGTTATGACGGTGAGGGAGGAAGAGAGGATTCAGGGCTGGCCATCCCAGAAAGGGGTCTCAGAAGGAACTGACTGCTTGGGTGACTTTTGGACTCTCAGGGGTCTCTGGTTTTGTAGTAATCCCTCTCCTCCAGTGACTCTTTCTGTACTCTGTTTGCACTATTTGTCTATCCTTGTCTTAATTACTGTAGCTTTATAGTAGATCTTGGTCTATGAGCATGTTTCTTGACATCTCATTCTCCCAATTGTCTTGGCTAGACAAATTACCTGTGTACCCACTGCCAAGTTAAATAGGATATTACAGGTGTAATAGAAGCCTCCTGTGTACCTCCCCAATCCTGCCTCCTCCCTCTCTCCCCAGAGGTAGTCATATCCTGAATTTGTCATTATATATTGATGCATATGTATTGTATCCATGACAGTAATGTTTTAAAGTTCTAAGGAATAGTATCAAAATTTTTCCTTCTGCAACTTGTTTTCTTAGTTTAGCATTGTTTATTGTCCATGTTATTACATGCAGCTCTATTCATATGTACAGGATTACATTGTAGGAACATACAAATATATATTTCCTTGTACACAAGGAAATATTAATATTGCTAGTTTACCTAGGAAGGATGTGCATATTTTCAACTTTATTTTGAAATTAATTTCCAAATCGATGGTGCCATTTGTAGTCTCTTTTAAGCAGCGTTTTGAGAGCTTCCATTGTTTCACATCCTCCCCAATACTTGGAATTGGCAGACTTTAATATTTTCCAGCCTGGTGGTTGCTTGTTTTTATTTGAACCCCTGATTTCCTGAAACATTGATTATATTTTTATCTTTCTTAACCTTTAGTCTTTTTCTTCTGTGAATTGCATACTCCTTCTTTGACCCATTTTTCTATTGGGCTTGTCTTTGAGTTATTAATTTGTAGGAATTTACATCATATTATGCCTGGAAATTCTTTGATATATGTGTTGCAAGTATCTTCACCTGGTCTGTGAATTGCCTCTTCACTATTTTTGTTGTATCTTTTGAAATACAGTTTCAAACTTCATGTGGTCAGATTTATTCAACTTTTCTTTGTTATTTGTCTTTTCTATGTCTTTTTTTTTTAAAGATTTTATTGGGGAATTGGGGAAGGGGAACAGCCAAGTTGTTGTCCTTCAATCTTAGTTGTGGATGGCGCAGCTAGCTCAGCTCCCAAGTCCAGTAGCCATCCAGCCGCCCATTGGCAGCTCACGGCCACTCAGCTCAAGGTGCCGTGTTCAATCTTCGTTGTGGGTGGGCGTAGCCCACCATCCCATGTGGGAGTCCAACCGGAAACCTTGTTAAGAATGCACACTCTAACCACTGAACCATCTGGCCGATGGCAGCTCAGGGCAGCTCACCTCAAGGTGCCATGTTCAATCTTAGTTGCGGGTGGGTGTAGCCCAACATTCCATGAGGGAGTCGAACCAGCAACCTTGTTGTTAGGAGCATGTTAGAAGCATGTGCTGTCACCAGCTGAACCATCCTGCCACCTGTTGGCAGCTCAGCGGCAGCTCAGCTCAGGTGCAACTCACTGGCCTATGTGGGAATTGGACCGGCGACCCTGTTGCTCAGAGCTCGTGCTCTTAACCAACTGAGCCACTTGGCTGGCCCCTTGATTGACTCTTAGGGAGAGCACAGCCCACAGTGGCCCATGAACCGGCAACCTTGGTGTTATCAGCACCATGCTCTAAACAACTGAGCTAACTGGTTACACCTCAATGATTTTTACAATTTCCTCCATCAAGAGGAAATAGCACATCTTGACTTCTAAAGAAATTATTTGCCAGGATAGTTTTCTTGCTTTAGAAATTGTGCCTTCTTAAAAATGACATTTTCTGTTTATTGCTTTTATATAGGAACATCATTGATTATTATATATTGATTTTATATCCAGAAATCTTGCTGAAGTTTTTGTTGGTCCTAATAATTTGTCTATGGAATTGCTTTAAGTTTTTTATGTAAACAATCATAATGCCTGTGAAAATGACAGTTGTGCTTTTCTTTTCCAATCTTCATACTTTTTTTTCTTTTTTTTTTTGGTCTTGTATTCTTCACAACAGAATGAGGTACTTATGATTATTCCCAGTTTGCAAATTAAGAAACTAAGTCTCAAAGAGGTAAGTTGTCTTTTTTAAGTTTAATGTTGCCACAGAGTTGGTGGCAGTCAAAATTTGAATTTAAGTCTCTGATTCTAATACCCATGCCTCTTCCCTACGGTATTCTTCCTTCCACATTATCCTCCATCTATAGATGAGAAAAGGACTGCTCACAGAAGTAAAGTGTCCACACCACTCCTCTGAGTGAAGGAAAGATTGAAAGAGCAGAAGGAAGTTACCAAAGCCTTTGTAACAGTTATGCAGGACTGAAATGGGGTTTAGGGTATCTGGGTCCTAATTCCGGTTCTACCACCTACCAGCTATGTTACCTTGGATAAGTCATTTTCTCTCTCTAACCTTATTCATTTATTCAATAATAAACTTTATGGAGGAGCACCTGCAATGTGCCAGGCAACGTTCTAGATAATGGGATACAGTAATAAACAAACAAATCCCTGCTCTCAAGGAACTTACAATACAATTGGGGAGACAGATAATGAGCAAAGTAAAGAAGTAAAATATATGGTATGTTAGATGTAATAAATGCTTTGGAGAAAAATAAAGCAGTGTAGGGGCTGAGGGCATGTCCGGGATGGTTGCAGTTTTTTAGAGTTATCAAGAAAGTCCTCTGGGCGGCCGGTTAGCTCAGGTGGTTAGAGCGCAGGCTTGTAACACCAAGGTTGCCGGTTCGATTCCCACATGGGCCACCGAGGTACACCCTCCACAACTAAATTGAAACAACTGCTCGACATGGAGCTGATGGGTCCTGGAAAAACACACTGTTTCTCAATAAAATTTCTTAAAAAAACCCCAACAAAGTCTTCACTGAGAGGGTAGCATTTGAGTAAAGACCTGAGTAAAGCTTGAGGAGTGTTGAGGAAAACAGGAAGCCAGTAGGGCTACAGTAGGGGGAGCAAGAAGTAGGAGATGAGGTCAGGTTTTGTGGGCATTTTAAGGGACTTTGGCTTTTCCTTTAAGTGAGATGGAAGCCACTAGAGGGCTTTGAGTGGAAGAATGATGTGATTTGACTGATGTTTAATAGGCTCCACTGCACTGCTGTGTTGAGAACAGACTAAAAGGGGTTGCAAGGGTGAAAGCAGGGAGGTCAGTGAGGGGGGTGTGTGTCACATCCATGTGAAAGATGATGGTGGCTTGAACCAGGACCATAGCAGTGAAGATGGTGAAAAGTACCAAATTATCTATCTATCTATCTATCTATCTATCTATCTATCTATCTATCTATCTATCTATCTATCATCTATCTTCTATCTATCATTTGAAGTTGAAAGTAAATTATTTAGTTTAAAATTAAAAGTAAGTTTATCTGATGAAGGAAACTTTAAAATATCTTATAAACCCAAACATAAGGCAACTCCTTAAATAAGCAATTCTCTTTTTTTCCTGATGATAAGATCTCCAAAAAGTTTTTTAGGCCAACTTGAATATATAAACTCTTAGGAACAGAGATGACACAGTCTAGAGTTTCTCAACCTCAACACTATGAACATTTAGAACCAAATACATTTTTGTTGTGGAGACCGTTTTATGCATTGTAGGATGTTTAGTAGCATTGCTGGCTTCTAGCTACCAGATGCCAGCCGCCTCTGACACCCCTCCCCACCCTCGCCAGTTGTGACAACCAAAAATGTGTCCAGACATTGACAAATGTCCCTGGTGGGCAAAATAGCCCTTGTTGAGAACCACTGATAGAGTCAAATGCCTATTTATAATATTTCATTTATTTCTTTATATATATTTTATATATAATGTATTTTTACATTCTCAAATTTCATGAAACAAATTTATTCCAACTCTTTGTGTGCATTGTTCATGTCAGATCTTCATTGTTGTTGTTCCTTTCTGTCATTTAACAGAGTTTTCTGGGTTAAATTTTCACTTCCATCTGCACTGTATGAGATACAGCACCTAACATTATATATGCTGTTATATTATATAATAAGAGGCTGTCACAGGAAAATGACATCCCAAGACACAATTATCCATAACATCAGGACATTTTTTTCTTTTTCACTGTCATTCTGATCTCTAAAATCTAAACAAGTACTGCATTATTTTAAAAAACAAACAATAAATAACCCTTTTCTTATTATAAAAAATTGAAAGCACATACAAGAGTGCACTTAATGGTATAATGAATCCTCATGTGCTGTCAGCCAACTTCAATTATCACCCAGTTTTTTAACAGAGGTATGTCCCATGTTATTTTGAAGCAAATTCCAAATATATAATTATTTATTTATTTTTAAAAATTAGTTTCAGGTGTACAAAACAGTGCAATAGTTATACTTTTACCCCTCAAAGTGACAACCCTCCTTCCCCAATCTGCCGCCCCATTCCCCCCCATATCATACATATCTATTATAATTGCATTGACTCCACTCCCACACCATACTCCACATCCCATGACTATATATATATTCAATTATAGTTGACATACGATATTATACAGCATCAGCTTCAGGTATACAGTGCAGTGATCAAGCCTCTACCCCATCCATGAAGTGGTCACCCTAACAAGACATGTGACCATCTGACACCCTACAAAATATTTACTACATTATTAATTATATTTCCTGAACTGTCTTTCATAGCCGTGTGGCAATCAAATATATAATTCTATTTGTAAACATTTTGTGTGTATCTCTAAAAGATAAGAATTCTTTATAATTGAATAGCCAATAAATGTTTAAATTTCTAATTATTTCATAAGCATCTCTCTCTCTCTCTCTCTCTCTCTCTCTCCAGTTTGTTTGAATCAGGATCCAAAAAAGGCTCACATGCAGCAAATTCATTGCTAGGTCTCTTCCTTCTCATTTAATCTATAGGTTCTCCTTTCATCTCTTTCTCCCGTATCATTTGTTATTTTTTCTGCACATTGACTATGTGCTGAGTGTCCCTATGATCTGTTCCTCTTCTATATTTCCTGTAAACTGGTGAGCTTGCAGATTCTGTTCTATTTTTTTGGCAAGACTATTTCATATGTAATGTTGTGAACTGGGCATGCACAAACACAACTTTGTTAGAAAAGTTTTAGAGAGGACGAGTAGAATAAATCCCTATATACTTGTATAAGTTGCCTATAGCTGCTGTAGCAAATTACTACAAATATGGCAGCTTAAAACAATACACATTTATTTTCTGACAGTTCTGGAGGCCAGAAGTCTGAAATCAGCATCAGTGGACAAGGAGTCAGCAGGGCCATGCTCCTTCCCGAGACTCTAGGGCAGAATCTGTCCCCTGACTCTTCCAGACTTTGGCGGCTGCTGGCATTCCTGGCTTGTGGCTTTGTCATCTGCCCCTGTGGCCACATTGCCTTCTCCTCTTCTGTCTGTAATCAAATTTCCCTTGACTTTTCTCTTAGACAAATACTTGTGATTGATTGCATTGTCTCACTTGGGTAATCCAGGATAATCTCCCCATCTCAAGAGCATTAATTTCATTGCATCTGCAAAACCTTTGCCATTAAGGTAATATGTACAGGTTCCAGGGATCAGTACCTGATATCTTTCAGGGCCATTATTCAGCCACTACAATACCCATACCCTAGTTTGCATACTCCCTCTGTCCCTCTGTCCCTCTGTCCCTCTCTCCCTTTCTCCCTCCCTCCCTCCCTCCCTTCCT